GCTACACTCCCTGCATGATTGTTACACTTCCTGCATGTCTGCTACACTCCCTGCATATCTGCTACACTTCCTGCATGTCTGCTACACTCCCTGCATGTCTGCTACACTCCCTGCATGTCTGCTACACTCCTTGCATGTCTGCTACACTCCCTGCCTGCCTGCTACACTCCCTGCATGCCTGCTACACGCCCTGCATGACTGCTACACTCCCTGCATGTCTGCTACACTCCCTGCATGTCTGCTACACTTCCTGCATGACTGCTACACTCCCTGCATGTCTGCTACACTCCCTGCATGTCTGCTACACTCCCTGCATGCCTGCTACACTCCCTGCATATGTGCTACACTTCCTGCATGTCTGCTACACTCCCTGCATGTCTGCTACACTCTATGCATGTCTGCTACACTCCCTGCATGTCTGCTACACTCCCTGCATGTCTGCTACACTCCCTGCATATCTGCTACACTTCCTGCATGTCTGCTACACTCCCTGCATGCCTGCTACACTCCCTGCATATCTTGCCCACACTTCCTGCATTCTGCCCACACTCCCTGCATGCCTCCTACACTCCCTGCATGTCTGCTACACTCCCTGCACATCTGCTACACTCCCTGCCTGTCTGCTACACTCCATGCATGTCTGCTACTCCCTGCATGTCTGCTACACTTCATGCATGTCTGCTACACTTCATGCATGTCTGCTACACTTCATGCATGTCTGCTACACTTCATGCATGTCTGCTACACTTCCTGCATGCCTCCTACACTCCCTACATGTCTGCTACACTCTCTGCCTATCTGCTACACTTCCTGCATGTCTGCTACACTCCCTGCATGCCTGTTACACTCCCTGCATGTCTGCTACACTTCCTGCATGTCTGCTACACTCTCTGCATGCCTGCTACAATTCCTGCATGTCTGCTACACTCCCTGCATGCCTGTTACACTCACTGCATGTCTGCTACACTCACTGCATGTCTGCTACACTCCCTGCATGTCTGCTACACTCCCTGCATGTCTGCTACACTCCCTGCATGATTGTTACACTTCCTGCATGTCTGCTACACCCCTTTCATATCTGCTTTCACTTCCTGCATGTCTGCTACACTCCCTGCATGCCTGCTACACTCCCTGCATGTCTGCTACACTCCCTGCATGATTGTTACACTTCCTGCATGTCTGCTACACTCCCTGCATGTCTGCTACACTTCCTGCATATCTGCTACACTCCCTGCATATCTGCTACACTTCCTGCATGTCTGCTACACTTCCTGCATGTCTGCTACACTCACTGCATGACTGCTACACTTCCTGCATGTCTGCTACGCTCCCTGCATGTCTGCTACACTCCCTGCATGTCTGCTACACTCCCTGCATGTCTGCTACACTCCCTGCATGTCTGCTACACTCCATGCATGTCTGCTACACTCCCTGCATGTCTGCTACACTCCCTGCATGTCTGCTACACTTCCAACATGTCTGCTACACTCCCTGCATGTCTGCTACACTCCCTGCATGCCTGCTACACTCCCTGCATGCCTGCTACACTCCCTGCATGCCTGCTACACTCCCTGCATGTCTGCTACACTCACTGCATGTCTGCTACACTCACTGCATGTCTGCTACACTCCCTGCATGTCTGCTACACTCCCTGCATGTCTGCTACACTCCCTGCATGATTGTTTCACTTCCTGCATGTCTGCTACACTCCCTGCATATCTGCTACACTTCCTGCATGTCTGCTACACTCCCTGCATGCCTGCTACACTCCCTGCATGCATGCTACACTCCCTGCATGCCTGCTACACTCCCTGCATGCCTGCTACACTCCCTGCATGTCTGCTACATTCCCTGCATGTCTGCTACACTCCCTGCATGTCTGCTACACTCCCAGCATGCCTGCTACACTCCCTGCATGCCTGCTACACTCCCTGCATGTTTGCTACACTCCCTGCATGCCTGTTACACTCCCTGCATGCCTGCTACACTCCCTGCATGTCTGCTACACTCCCTGCATGTCTGCTACACTCCTTGCATATCTGCTACACTCCCTGCATGTCTGCTACACTCCCTGCATGTCTGCTACACTTCCTGCATGTCTGCTACACTCCCTGCACGTCTGCTACACTCTATGCATGTCTGCTACACTCCTTGCATGTCTGCTACACTCCCTACATGTCTGCTACACTCCCTGCATATCTGCTACACTCCCAGCATGTCTGCTACACTTCCTGCATGTCTGCTACACTCCCTGCATGCCTGTTACACTCCCTGCATGCCTGCTACACTTCCTGCATGTCTGCTACACTCCCTGCATGCCTGCTACACTCCCTGCATGTCTGCTACACTTTCTGCATGTCTATTAAACTTCCTGCATATCTGCTATACTCCCTGCATGTCTACTACACTTCCTGCATGTCTGCTACACTCCCTGCATGTCTGCTACACTCCCTGCATGTCTGCTACACTTTCCCGCATGTTGCTACACTCCCTGCATGTCTGCTACACTTCCTGCATGCCTGCTACACTCCCTGCATGCCTGCTACACTCCCTGCATGTCTGCTACACTCCCTGCATGTCTGCTACACTCCCTGCATGTCTGCTACACGTCCTACATGTCTGCTACACTCCCTGCATATCTGCTACACTCCCTGCATGCCTGCTGCACGCCCTGCATGTGTGCTACACTCCCTGCATGTCTGCTACACTCCCTGCATGTTTCTACACTCCCTGATGTCTGTACACTCCCTGCATGTCTGCTACACTCCCTGCATGTCTGCTACACTTCCTCCACGTCTGCTACACTCCCTGCATGTCTGCTACACTCCCTGCATGTCTGCTACACTCCTTGCATGTCTGCTACACTCCCTGCATGTCTGCTACACTCCCTGCATGTCTGCTCCACTTCCTGCATGTCTGCTACACTCCCTGCATGTCTGCTACACTCCCTGCATGCCTGCTACACTCCCAGCATGTCTGCTACACTTCCTGCATGCCTGCTACACGTCCTGCATGACTGCTACACGCCATGCATGACTGCTACACTCACTGCATGTCTACTACACTTCCTGTATGTCTGCTACACTTCCTGCATGTCTGCTACACTTCCTGCGTGTCTGCTACACTCCCTTCATGCCTGCTACACTCCCTGCATGTCTGCTACACTTTCTGCATGTCTGCTACACTCCCTTCATGCCTGCTACACTCCCTGCATGTCTGCTACACTTTCTGCATGTCTGCTACACTTTCTGCATGTCTGCTACACTCCCTGCATGTCTGCTACACTATCTGCATGGCTGCTACACCTCCTACATGTCTGCTACACTCCCTGCATGCCTGCTACATTCCCTGCATGTCTGCTACACTCCCTGCATGTCTGCTACGCTCCCTGCATGTCTGCTACACTCCCTGCATGCCTGCTACACTCCCTGCATGCCCGCTTTCACCCTGCATGCCCGCTACACTCCTGCATGTCTGCTACATTCCATGCATGTCTGCTACACTCCCCGCATGTCTGCTACACTCCCTGCATGCCTGCTACACTCCCTGCATGTCTGCTACACTTCCTGCATGTCTGCTACACTTACTGCATGTCTGCTACACTTCCTGCATGTCTGCTACACTTCATGCTTAAATTCCATGGTGTTTCTCACTTTGTTTATCACACTAATTTACTTTGGAGCCATGGTTACTTATTTCACAGTTGCACTGCAAAAATAACACAACCTACAATGGGAAATAAGAGAAATGTTTGAAGGTATGAGCAGAAGCTTCCTCAGCCACCGAGAGAGAGCCATCCACCGGCCCTAGCTGGCGGACGGCTGATCACCAAGTTGGCCGATAACAGAAGTGGCCGATAACCGGGGATCCAGTGTATTAATAATCAGTGTCGGCTCGTCCAGAAATAGAATGGGGAACTGCGTGACTACAAGCCTCATAAAACAGCATAATAAACATGAACAGACCGATTGCAACTGGGCATGTGCTGCATCGAATGCCGCTCCTCGCTGCCAGGTGTAATGCCAGTAATACCTATATTATGGTATCACATCAAACTTCTTTTTTCGATCATTTTTTATCTCATTTCGACAAAAAATTAAAAATTCATTTATAAATACACTGAGAACAATATACAACAGATTTTTCTTGTAATGTATTTGCCAGTTGTAAATTATTTTATTGTAAGGTTGATGAAGTCATACATCTGGCAGTGAGCATCTGGGGAGACAGCAGCTCTGCAGCTCTTATGAACAAGCAGCCCCTGATAATAATAATTTATTTTGACATGATACACGTTTGTACAAAGGAATATAATAGTTGGGTGTACATGCCAAAAGCCCCTTTACATGCAGAGCATTTCAGGCAAGCTGAAATCTAACTTAAGATTAATTAGGCAATAATAATACATATGGTCCTAGGTAGTAGGTTGTAGACAGAGAGGTATTACCGTCCTGCAAAGCAAGTGTAAAACCTAAGCCTGTAATTGTTTTACATGATGGTAGGATTGCTGGTAACTTTTTTCTGTCTCATAAACATTCAAGAATTTAGGTACATCTTGCTACTTCTACTTACACTTAGGTCACATTACACATGCATGTACAAGCATATATATACACACACCCCTCTGAGTTTTCTTCTTTTTTACCAGTTCTTGTTCTTGTTTATTTCCTCTTATCTCCATGGGGAAGTGGAACAGAATTCTTCCTCTGTCATCCATGCATGTCATAAGAGAAGGCTAAAGTGCCAGGAGCAAGGGGCTAGTAATCCTTTCTCCTGTGTATGTACATTACTAAAGTTAAAAAGAGAAACTTTTGTTTTTCTTTTTGGGCCACCCTGCCTCGGTGGGATATGGCCGGTTTGTTGAAAGAAGAGTACATATGGTCATGAGGTGAGTTACATTACTTTTCAAATGACCCTCTGGGCTATATACCTCCCCCCCCCACCCTCATCCTTCAGAATGTAGGCACTGAACCGTATTGAATTAAAGTATTTTAGCCAACCTTCAGCAGATGTAGTGCTTCTCTGAGAGGTACACCGTACACAGAAGACATCGAGGCTACACTCTGGCCAGTGAGAAGGGGCGAGAGATTGTGTGGAAGGAAGTGATCCAGGATAACAGAGATGAGGTGTGGAGTCTGGGCTAGTGTCCACGCAGCTGTCAGAGAGTGACGAACCATGCGAGTTAAGATGCCCAGAATGTTGATTACCGTCTCTGGGCTCGGCTGTAGACTCTCAAGTATGTACCTGCATGGCCAAAAACACTGTAATGGTGCTCATTTTTATTTAAAAATGTAATAAAACATATTTTTTTGTAAATACATATGCATGATAGTACAGTGGGCCCTCGGATAATGCATGCATCGGCTAACGCCAAAATCGGCTAATGCCTTGCTTTGGCGTAAAAAAATTGGCTTGGATAACAACTTAAAACTTGGTTAAGAACTTTCGTCCCAAACATGTCCGCACGGCGTCCTGAGCGGGCCCGGCCACTCACTCCATGTACCAGCCAGTGTGCCATTGTTTACAAAGCCAGTGAGGCCGATTCCACGCGTACATGCGATATACAGTGGACCCCCGCCTAACGATCAGCTCCCAACTCGACCAATTATGTAAGTGTATTTTTGTAAGTGCTTTTGTAGGTGTATTTTTGGGGGTCTGAAACGGATTAATCTAATTCACAATATTTATTATGGGAACAAATTTGGTCTATAACGGCACACAAACAGACTTCTGGATTGAAATAATATCGTTAGGCGGGGGTCCACTGTATTTTGAATTACAGTGGAACCTCAAAAATCGAATTTAATCCGTTCCAGGAGCTAGTTCTAAATCCGAAAAGTCTGAAATTTGAAGCAATATTTCCCATAAGAAATCATGGAAATACAATTAATCCATTCCAGAAACCCAAAAATATTCACACAAAAAATACATTTTACAGAGATTAATTACAGTTTTACATACAACAAATACTATAGTTTTTAATTATGTATAGTAATACATATAAAATAACATTTTTACTTACCTTTATTGAAGATTGGTGATGGCATCTGGAAGATAGGGAGGAGGAGGGAGGGAGTTGGGGTTAGTGTTTGGAAGGAGAATCCCCCTCCATGAGGACTTCAGGTAAAGCCCTCTGTGGAGTTACTTCCCTTCTCTGTCTTTTAATGCCACTAGGACTGGCTTGAGAGTCACTGGACCCCTGTCTCACAAAATAACTGTCCACAGTCCTCTGTTTCTGGCGCCTCTTTAACATTTCCCTAAAATGGGACATGGTTCTGTCACTGAACTTGTTGCAAAGATGGCTTGTTTCAGCTTGCTCAGGGTGGTACTTCTGCACAAACATTTGGACATCATTCCACTTGGCACAAATCTCCTTAATCTTTGAAGAAGGCACCTCATCCACTCCCTCTTCCTCCTCTTCTGAAGCAAGTTCCTCAGCTGTGGTCTGATACCGCTCCAGATGAAGCTCTTGCAGCTCTTCAGTGGTTAGCTCTTCCCTGTGGTCCTCCATCAACTCTTCCACATCCTCACCACTCACCTCCAACCCCAGGGTGTTCCCCAATGCCACAATAGAGTCCACAACAGGCAGAGGGTGAGCTGGGTCAGGGTCAGCCTCAAACCCTTCAAAATCCCTCTTTTGGACACAATCTGGGGACAATTGTCTCCAAGCAGAGTTCAAAGTCCTGGAAGTCACTCCCTCCCAAGCCTTACCTATAAGGCTTATGAAGTTGTAGATGGTGAAGTGATTCCTCCAGAACTCTCTTAGGGTCAACTTAGTGTATGTGGTCACTTCAAAGCACTTTTCAAACACTGCTTTTGTGTAGAGTTTTTTGAAGTTAGAAATGACCTGCTGGTCCATGGGCTGGAGGAGAGGAGTGGTGTTAGGAGGCAAGAACTTCACTTTTATAAAACTGAAGTCCTTAGACAAGAGGTCTAATAAGTTTGGAGGGTGAGCAGGAGCATTGTCCATTAACAGGAGGCACTTGAGTGGCAATTTCTTTTCCTGGAGGTATTTTTCACACTGGGGCCAAACACTTCACAGACCCACTCTTTGAAAATTTGTCTTGTGACCCATGCCTTATGATTAGCTTTCCACAAGACACATAACTTGTTCTTAAAGACATTGTTTTTCTGAATGATACACAAGTAAAGGCTTCACTTTAAAATCACCACTAGCATTAGCACAGAATAAACGAGTAAGCCTGTCTTTCATAGGCTTGTGTCCTGGCAGTGCCTTTTCCTCCTGTGTGATGAAGATCCTTTTTGTCATTTTCTTCCAAAACAAGCCTGTTTCGTCACAATTAAACACTTGTTCAGGTTTGAATTCTTCACTGTCTATGTACCCCTTAAACTCCTGTACAAACTTCTCAGCCACCCGTTTGTCTGAACTGGCTGCCTCACAATGTCTTACAACATTGTGTATGCCACTACGCTTCTTAAATCTGTCAAACCAGCCTCTGCTGGCCTTAAATTCACTATCAGCGCTGGTTCCAGGAGTTTTCTGTACCAGATCGGCATGCAACTTCCTTGCCTTTTCACAAATAATCGTCTCTGAAACACTATCACCTGCAATCTCTTTATCCTTGATCCACACCAGTAACAACTTCTCAACCTCTTCAACTATTTGTGGTCTTTTTTTGGTTAGCATATTAACATCTTTCGCAACATCAGCTTCCTTGATTTGTTCTTTCTTTGCCATGATAGAACCGATGGTCGACTTGTTTTTCCCATACATCCTGGCAAGCTCAACAAGTCTCACACCACTCTCATACTTCTGTATTATTTCCTTCTTCACATCTATGGTGTTTCTCACTTTCTTTACCACAGGGGTACCACTAGCAAGTTTCTTTGGGCCCATGGCAGCTTATTTCACAGTCCCACAAGCACTAAACACAACAAAATAATCATAAAATGTGTGAATGAGAGCGCAGGTTAGTGTTCAATCAAGCATAAACAAAGCTAGACTGCTCATGGCGCCTGCGCGGGGACGCGGACAGAGCGGGCCAGCGGACAGGTCCCGTACCCGGCGGTCCGAAATTAGGGGCACGTTCGATAATTGGGACAAAGTTTGTCCGGAAAAATGGTCTTATTTTCAAAACGTTCGATATTTGATACGTTCGATTTTTGAGGTTCCACTGTAAGTGACAGTGATAATGACGCTCTAGTAGCTAGGAATGATAACCTTAACTCCATATGTAATTCATACATAGGACAATGCGAGACAATACAGCCATTCTTATTATCTTAAACACCACCAAACAGGTGCATACACTGCACTAAAATACGAAAGAAGAACTGAAAAGACACCTTATGTAAAAAGTGTAAGTGGTGAGTGCATAATGGATGTATGTACAGTAATGGTGCCAGAATTCATTTTGTGTGTTACATATGCACTTTAGGACAGTTACCCTTTATCAATGAGGACAATGATTTACCTAATTTTAATACAAGTGACCCATTGCAATATACTGATGATTATAATTGTTTTATGAAAACAAGCCTTCACTTTATTCATGTCAATGCATGATCACTTTTTCCAAAATTGACAGAGATTAGGATTTTAGCTAACAGAACTAGGGCGGCAGTTATATCCATCTCTGAATCCTGGTTGGATGATACAGTGACTGACGACAAAGTCAAAAATAGAAGGTTACAATATAAAACACTTGGATAGGAACAGAAAAGGTGGTGAGATATGTGCCTACATAAGAAATGACTTAGCTTACAACCCAAGACCTGATTTAAATAACAATAAACAGGAGATTCTATGGTTTGAAGTGCTGCTTCCCAAGACCAAACCCATCTTAGTAGGAACTAGTTACTGCCCTCTCACCCACGACCAGTTCTTAGAAGACTTTTCCAGTCTTGTCCGGACTTGAAAACAATTGCGAGACAATAATACTGGGAGACTTCAATATCTGTTTCTAGCAGCAAAATAACGGGCTATGCAAAAGCTATAAGCAAATTCTAAGTTTAAATAGCTACACTCAACTAATTAATACACCAACCTAGATCACAGTTCTCAGCCACCTTGAGAACATTAGTCAGTCAGGCGTCATTACCACAGGCCTTAGTGATCATTTCATTATTTACTGCACCAGGAAAATCACTACGGATAGGATACGCCTACACAGGACAATCAAAATGAGGTCAAATAAAAATTACAGTAAATAAACACTGGTAAACAGGCTACGCAATTGTGACTGGACAGTGATAAGTTGCACAGACGTAAATGATGCCTGGGAAAAATTCAAAACAATGTTCACTACCATCCTTGATAATATTGTACCAGTTAAAGAGGTTAGGATTAAACGTAGAACTGAACCCTGGATGACTACTGAGATATTAGATATGAAATTCAGAGATCAGTTGCTAAATTATTATTATAATCAAAAAGAAGTGCTAAGCCACAAGGGCTATACAGCGCTGCAGGGTAGGGAAGGAAGCGAGGGTACTGGATGGCAGAAGGGAGGAGGGATGATCAGTAGGTTACAGAAAACAGCGGGGCAGGGGATAGTACGGGGGTAGAGGGTAGCAAGAGATTGAAGTAGAAAGGGCTGAAGATATCAGAATTTGTGAAGTAAGTTAGTTGTTGTCAAAAAGTCAATGAGAGAGTCCGGATGAAAGATGGGTCCATCAGCGAGAAGGGAAGGTAAAGAGAGAGCAGCGGAGCGAAGACGACGAAGGAGGTAAATTCTGCGTGCTCGTTGATAAGTGGGCAGTCCAACAGAATGTGGCTGACTGATAATGGAGCTTGGCAATTCTCACAGAGAGGAGCAGGGCGCCTCTCCATGAGATATCCATGAGTAAGACAAGTATGGCCAATGCGAAGACGGGAGAGAGTAGTCTCTCAACCTCAATACTGGTGATAAGAAGACGGCCAGTAACCTATACTTGGTTTAATAGATTGAAGTTTGTTGCCGAGCATAGTAGACCAACGGTGTTGCCAACGGGTGTGAAGGTGGGAAGATATTGCAGCAAAATAGTCCATAAATGGAATACCTCTATATGAAACTGGTAGGTCATGTACTGCTGACCGTGCAGCAGTGTCTGCCTGTTCATTGACCTGTACGTCAACATGACCAGGGACCCAACAAAAAACAATATCTTTATGCTTGATAAAGATGCGGCGTAGCCAAAGTTGGATACGGAGGACTAAGGGGTGAGGTGTATCAAATTTCTGTATAGCCTGTAAAGCACTAAGGGAGTCTGACACAACCACAAATGATGACACAGGCATAGAT